ATATATATATATATATATATATAGATTATTAGTAGTAGTAGATATATTATATTATATATATATATATTATTACTAGTAGTAGATATTATATATATATATATATATATATATATATATATATATATATATATATAGATAGATAGATAGATAGATAGATAGATAGATAGATAGATAGATAGATAAATAAAAGTATAATTTTATAGTATGCTATATGTATGAGCTAATTTTTTTCAATCAAGGGTAGAGCATATGTAAATATAAAAGTAATCATTGATGTTAACGCCCAGTGACTTCAGTCTGCTTCATTCGCAATATCCACTTTTACACACACACACACACACGCGCACACACACACACACACACACATATATATATATATATATATATATATGTATATAGATTGATAGATAATATTAGTGGTTAATGTATATATATATATATATATATATATATATATATATATATATCCGATGTGTATGTGAGGGGTGGAGAGTTAGGAGTTCCATATAAAAATGTCACTTGGAATTATATAATATATATTTCTTAATTAAAAGACACTTTTGAATTATTGATTCCTTTCATTGGAATACTGCTTCCCTCATTTCATGCACTTTGCATTTTAGTTTTGATTTTAGAAACGATCGTGAAACACTTCTGCAGAAAATACTTCAAATAAATGTAAAGCATTAAGCTGTCACTTGATTTCAGTAAAAAAAATTTCTTGTTTTCAATTTAAACTCTCGCTTCTGCACACCTTTTTTTTTAAAATTCATATCAATAAATAAAATATTCAGTTTATCTCAACATTTTCGATTATTAATGAAATAACCTAACGACATTTTCTATCTTTTCATCAGAGTCAAGATAAATATAGGGATTATTTAATATTTTATATTTTGATCGCAAAAATAAAATATCGTCCATTTAAGAGGCTAGGAAAGTACTAAAAAATCAATAAAATAGGAATTGTCTTTGGTTGTCTAAATTTTTCGATAAAGCAATGTTATATAAATGTTTTACTGAATAGTGTATCGAATCCATAGCGATTCTTCTGTATGCTACGAAAATACAGCATACTAAATAAATAATTAAATTTAGACAAGTTAACATTCATCCTTTTCCCCATGTTCATGCTTCTTTGTAGAAATAATTGTTATGTGAATTTCTAAGATAATTCCTTGTAATTAATTTCCATTTCTCATTTGTTTTCCGTATTTTATATTTTGTTGTTTGTTGGCACCAAGCAGCAGTCGCAGATATATATTTTAAAGTCATTATTAATGCATGGGTTTGAGATTTTCCTTCTTATAGCAGCGCTGATGAGAATTTTATATTCTACCACCGTTAAGAAAGCCTTACGCATCTGGAATAAATATTAGCTTTTTGGCGGATTTTAATTTGTTTTTTAACTCCTTTGATTCCTGTCTAATTAAGAAAGGATCACGCTGATTCGGCTACGAATGCTATCAAACTAACGTCTAAGTAATTTCATCATTATCTAAAATCTTAGTGGTTTACACTAATTAGTGTCGCAGTAAAGCCGATAATTTTAACTTAATTCCCGAAGAGTTCCTTCGTAATTTCGTTGGGTTTTTTTTGTGAAATAAAACAACAAAATTGATTAAAGTTGGCTGTTATTCTTAATAATAATAATAATAATAATAATAATAATAATAAGTCAAAAAAATCCCTGGTCAACCATATCTCCACGAAATCTAAAAAATAATTCTAACAAGTACAGCCCAAGGTCTGGGGAGATCTTTGTCCGTTTAAGTTTATTTTTTTATTATTAATTATTAATGTGCATTTCGACATTCCTCACAAAATCCGAAGAAGGGTCTGTAATGTAATCAATAATGACCAGGTACCTCGACTTTAGACACTTTCTCACTGATATGTTGCGGCTTTCCTCTTTCTTTTCGTTAAATATTTTCATGATAACTGTTCTGATGAATTTTCTTCTCTAGTGCGCCACTACGAGAATTCAATCTGCTACTAGATTGGCAACTAGGTCTCACAGTTTTACTTTTGAACTAGATAGATGCAATCACCACTTATATTCTATTTCTTTTCTCGCACATCTAACTTGTGGAACTCTCTTCCGATTTCAAGTTTTACTGATAACTACAATCTTCAAAAATGTGCAATGTCAAACATCGCTTTCCGTATTCTTGAATTTTGTTTCTTTTACTCCTTTTCACAATCCTTCCTATTCTCAGTCTTCTTATTTCCCTCCATTTTCACTCCCTGTAACATCATGTGTTATAGTGGCAATATCCCCTTTGTTTGCGGTGAAGTAATTATTTTTTTTTTAAATCTTTTGTTTAATTAAGTGAGAAAAATATAACTGTCATCCATCGGTTTCCCTATGTCTTTAGGTCTGACCCAGCATGGGATTCTGAAGCAAATGCAGATCAAAAAGAAGGTAGTCGGACATTTGAACGACGGACTTTTCGCAGAATGGACATTTGGCCGACGGATATTTATCCGAATGGACATTTAGCCGAAAATGTAGTGGCCTACTTACATGTATGTCACACTCTTTATCATAATGTGCTACGTATATTTATATTTCTTTACTGTATTAATTTAAAACTTTTCGCTTTTTTTGCGGGCTTTTTAAAAAAAAACTATTCTGTATGTATTATATTTTACTTCAAATATTACTATAAGATGATAAGTATTTTGAGATAAAGCACATTTTACTCCAGCAAAAATTTTAATCTTTTACGATATGAAAGATCTTTCAATTTCGCTTTTAATGATCATTATCTTAAAGGAATTTTTATCTTACTGATAAATACGAATTTACATAATTGAGTGCTATTTTTTACCCAAATATACTGAAATATTTTTAAAAATACTAATTTCAATGAACAAATATTGAAATAAGAAAACTTTTAACTTTAAATTTACATTCACTTTAAATTCAGGGGTAATTATTAGTCCTATTCTACCTTATAATACTGCTAATTTAAATACTTAATGTAATGCTTGTTACTATTTTTACTTGTACTTCTTCGGCGAAAGGTCCGTCGTCCAAATGTCTGTCTACCAAATGTCTGTCAGCAAAATGTCCGTTCGTCCAAATATCTCTCGGCCAAATGTCCGTCGGCGAAATGTCTCTCGGCAAAATGTCCGTCGACCAAATGTTTATCGGCCAAATCTCAGTCCACGCAAAAAGAAATTCTTGCTATACATTGCTTTACAAGAGATTGCGACAAGGCATGTATTGTGATGCGTATGTACACGAAGATAGACATCTGGGATAGAGAGAACGCGTGGGGTGGCATGATAGAGAAACTTGCCGGTACTTATGATTTGTTTCAAAGCATAGCAGAATCAGGTGATAAACATATGTGAAAACAAAAGATCTCAAAGTTCTTTCGTGATCATGTTTTGCTTTTGTTAAACACGGTAAAAAAGGTCGTCTTGTGCTTTATTACAGCAGCATGTGTCAGGAATTTGCATGCAGCAGCTTAGAAATAAGATAGCGGCATTGAGTTTTCGCGTCGAGGTTTTTCAATCGAAAATCATTTCGTGTGGAGAAAACAAGTTTCTAGAATCTTAGTCTCTTGAAAAATACGTGCTCGAAGTACGGAAATCAGGTTTCCTTTGCACCGTGTTATGGTCCAGGTTAGGACCAAGGAAGAATAACACGAACACAGGAGTAGAAAGTTATATTACACAAAATAATAATACAAGATGTGGATGGTGGTATTATGACTGTCAGTCTGGTTTGGAGTGAACTACTATCGGCTCGATTCGATTCGGTATCTAGCCACCCTCCACGAGGGTTGCATATGGCACAAGGCCGAGTTTAACGTGGGTTTCCCGGGCCCGTAGGCTCGGCCAAAAAATGCCCGTAGAGACTGTAAAAACAGAATCGGGTTGGTCAATCTCCCCGAACGAGGCTCTAGCTTTCGGCGGAGCCTCGTCCAGGTTCCTCTCCGCTCAGAGGCAGAGAGTTCGACGGTCAAGGCGAGAAGCTCGGCTTGATTCAGTATCTATCCCCCATCCCACCACGAGGGTTGCATGTGGCACAGGGCCGATTTTAACGTGGGTTTCCGAGCCCGTAGGCTCGGCCAAAAATACACGTAGAACCCGTATAAACGGGATCGGGTTGGTCAATCTCCCCGAACGAAACTCTGCTCTTCGGCGGAGCCTCGTCCGGGATCCTCTCTGCTCAGAGGCAGAGAGTTCGACCGTCAAGCCGAGAAGCTCGGCTCGATTCGGTATCTAGCCACCCTCCCACGAGGGTTGCATGTGGCACAAGGCCGAGTTTAACGTGGGTTTCCCGAGCCCGTAGGCTCGGCTAAAAAATGCCCGTAGAACCCGTAGAAACGGGATCAGGTTGGTCAACCTCCCCAAACGAGACTCTGCCCTTCGGCGGAGCCTCGTCCGGGTTCCTCTCTGCTCAGAGGCAGCGAGTTCGACCGTCAAATCGAGAAGCTCGACTCGATTCGTCCCTCTCTCTTGAGAGGCGTACTATACATAGTGTTAGAGTTCATTCTGTAGTTATAGGTAAGGATCCATGACAGTCCGGTAATCAAGAATTATTCTAACTGTCATAAATGTTGTTATAACGGCAGCAAATCCGTTAATTAAAGAAACCAGAAAGAAAACTTCACGATTGTCTCTCCAATTCAGTCGCTTAGCTCTCATATCCACAAAGTCGCATTTTCGTATGAATTATTAAGCCTACTAACATCATCTATGTTGCAGTTATTGGTTGATTTATATTTTTATGGCTAATCAACCTTTTGCGTGTTATTTAAAGCCAGAAAATATTTTTATTTTTTTAAGAATGTTTTAGAGATAATAACAATTTATTGATTCATGTTATACTATTTAACCCACAGGTGGTGAAAAGTGGATTCATACTTTACTCAAGAGTATTTGCGAGTAAGTGAATAAGACGAACCATACTAAAATTCGAATTCGCCTCTCCGATTTCTAATTGCCAGCCGTTATCCATTTCATTAGACGCACATCAAAGCTTACGATAACTGATATTCCCAGGAAGTCACCCATCAACGTACTGACCAATGTCGACGTTGCTTAACTTCGGTATTCGTACGAGAACCGTTGTTTTAATGCGATATGGCCGTAAACCCTTAGTTCCAATTTAAAATGTTTTAGCCGGTACGCGATCCGAATGGACATGTGTGTATGTCGTATGCGATTATATCCAATGATGTTTGAATAATAAAAAAAAATATCATTAGTCTGGGATGAAGAGTTTGTCTTTAGATTATTCACAAGAGGTAAATGGAGGTAAATATACCGATTTATGGGCCGTTAGTTTTTGGAGTCATGAAACCACAATTTGCATGTGGTACACTCCTAAATCTCTGCTTTTTGAAGTTTTGTTAATCTTTTTAGTACTGTTCGCATTTAATATCTATCTCATATCTATCTATCTATCGTGATTTTCTAAGCCTGCCGTAGATGTGTCACAAAGCCGAAAGTATGGGGCACCCAGTGAGGATCGAACTAACTACTCAGTTGTAATCGATCTAGCAAGACAAACTTTCTAACCATTACACCACGTCGAGGTGCCATCTATCTATCTATCTATCTATCTATCTATCTATCTATCTATCTATTCTATTCTATTCTATTCTATTCTATTTACAGCCTATCTTAACCTATCACCTTTTCTATTGCGGTTCCTTCTCTATTTTTTAAAATTAAATCCAAAAGCCTCAGTGTTTTCTCATTGCTTTTGAATTTACAAGTAAAGCAAGACAATCGGCTTCACTTTCCTTTTTATATATATACATATATTTATCATCAAGTGCACTGACAGTCTGTTTCGTAGCAACAACAATTGCTACTTAAGACAATGATGAAATGAATCAGATGTGATCACATACGCCCGAACACACATGAATAAATTACTTCTGATTTACGTCTGGGAACGATTGCTGTAGACCAATGATTAGCAGATTGGTCTTAGGGACTAACAGCCAGTGAATCTAAAACTCGCTTGATGCGCCATTACAGTGGTCTTGTGTCGGAATAATATAATCTTTTCGCTATTATCTTCTTACTTACTAGTAACACTATTTTTCCTCATTCTTCTTCTTCTTCTTCTTCTTCTTCTTCTTCTTCTTCTTCGTTTTATGTCCCTTCAGGACATTGGCAATTATCGCTCTTCATAATTTCCTGTACGTTGGAGCTCCTAGTATATTGTGTCTTTTTGCAGCATGGACGGCATGACAGGTTTTGGGAGAGATACTCCAAAACCCTGTCATGCCGTCCATTTGTATATGTTCTTTAGGGAGGTTACGCTCTGTTTTCTTCAGTCGTTATTGTCTTTACTAGTTTTATTGCAATTTTCTACTTCTTATTTATGTGAATTAAGCTTCTCAAACCTAAATAATATAAAAAAAAATTGAAAGCGAGAAAGACTACGGTCAACTAATGAAGAAATAAGGGTCTGCTTTCGGCACATTCTACCAAACATTGAAATAATCGCGAAAAAAAACCCGGCACAGGTTTCACGTTAAATAAACTGGAGAAATAGTTGATTATTTACATTATTCAGCTTAATTCACATAAATAAGAAGTAGAAAATTGCAATAAAACTGGTAAAGGCTTTTTAGCTAGTGTGGGACATTTCTTTTGTAGTGAAATCCAAAATGTATAAATGGGTTACGTCGAATTTTTATTTTGAGCCCTAAAATTAAAAAAAAAAAAAACTTTTAAAAATGAATATTAAAACAAAGTATTCAAAATAACATAATCGAAGAATGGTGAAAATAATAATTTGAAAAAAAGAAGATTAATACTTATTCATTTATTCAAATACAAGGGCTGAACCATTACTGCATCCACACACACGCACATGTGTGTGTGTGCGTGTGCATGTGTGTGTGTGTGTGTGTGTGTGTGTGTGTGTGTGTGTGCCGTGAAAATATCACGACACACTTAGCAAAATTTTAAAGGGTATGCATTTAAATAACACCATAGATTAAAAAAAATACACACAAATATGAACTTAGCGCAGTATGCTTTATTTTGAGCCCTTGATCTCTAGAAATGGTGACCAATATTAGAAGGAATAATTATGAAGGGATTTCAAGACCAAACTTAATTTTCTGTGCTCAATGACGGAAAATGATAGCCGATGTTTTCGTCGAGGGCTTTCAAATGGGTAACCATAATAGGGATCATTTATTTAATGCAGGCCTGGCGGGCTTGGGCAGTTGGATGTCGGAGCGGGGTCTGTGAGAGTTGGCAGAAACACACAACCTGTTGAAAGCCACAAGGGATAGGGTTAAGTGGAGGGCCATGATCGCCTACGTTCTGAAAGGACACGACACATAAAAAGAAAGAAGAAAGTTCGCATATATATATATATATATATATATATATATATATATATAAATTATCCGACCTTTCTGTATTTTTCCAAATCATAATTTTCTTTTTGAGGGCAACCAAATTACCTAACGCGGTACCATTACTACTTTCAGACACACACACACACACACACACACACACATACTCAGAGACAGATATATATATATATATATATATATATATATATATATATATATATATATATATTGATTAATTTAATTCATGCCAAATTGACTGAAAAACTCCTACAAAAAAAAATTCTCAAATTACCATATTAGTAAAAAATTGCACTCATTCAATTTTTTTAAAAGATTCAACCTTATTGTTGCGACTGCACGCTCCAAAAGTCTTTATCCGTTAACAATAACACATTTCTAAAAAAACATTTCGATTCTCATTTAATCTTTCGTCTCCGATGCTACCTGGATTTACTAAAAACAAAATAATTTCCATGCCTGAGGATGACTGTGTGCAAAGTTGAAAGTACTAGCAGATTCAAAAAAAAAAAAATTTAAATTATACAACTTGTAGTTATTAAAAACAAGGATGATAACATTCATCGACTGGTTCGTAGGTTAATGCAACTTTAAAATTTTGTTTGCGAAGCGTTTTCGCCATTTTATACCATTAACTTTACTCATCTACTTTTTGTATGAATGATTCATGTAATATAAATTGAACTGCATCACATATCTTATGTATATATATATATATATATATATATATATATATATATATATATATATATATATGTATGTATGTATGTATGTATGCTGTGGCAATGTTTCGGGTAACAATTAAGAAGATCGTGCAGCACACTGGTTTGCCGCGGTAGTGACAATTAGAATCACTGGTCCAACTCTTCCAAACCCTTCACCATCTTCACATCCCCACATGTGACTTGCAATACGAACAGGAGGCACAAGAACTATACGAATAGCTGTCTGTCCACCGCCAAGAGCGGGCCAGTACAAGCTCCCATGATCCCAAAATTATCAAAAGGAAGCCATATTGTATGCAAGCCGAGAACGTAATCGTGTAGCGATGGTTTGTCATCACCTAAAGCTCCGATGATGAAAACTCGTTCCTTTTTTTTTTTATTTTGCACGAAATCGCGGGATGACATTTTTCTTCATCTTTACAAAAGTCGATATCTATAAATATCTGAATTTCAGAGTCGAATGCACCCCACATCTCAGTGTAATGACTTTTCTTTCTCCGCAGAGAAACTACAGAGTCCCAGGGTTACATAGTTCGCAACCCTGATATACACGTTTTTACCAGTTAGATTTTGCCCAACTACCGTTTGATTTTGTATGCTCGTTTGTAGGTGTGCTTGCATGTATTAAATAATACGTTTTCAGAATTACAATATTTCTCTCTATTTATCCTTCTTCCTTGTTAGGTTTTTTTCTTTTTTTTTATTTGAATGCATAGATTTCTTTTTCTTTAGAAATGTGTTTCTTCAACGACCGTTAATCGTTTCATCTAGCAATTTTCAGTTTCGTGGATGGGAAAAAAGCAAAAGCCAAAAAAATATATAGTTATGAAATCTTCCACTAAGTCTTCAGGGTACAGCATATGATCTGCTGTCTTATCTCTAACTAATATCACCATTTTTTTTTCTTTCCTTTCCAACTGATAGGAGAGGGTTGTCCTTGAACATGCTTCCTTGTCAACGTTTGCTTCTTGCAAAACAAAATTTAAAGAAAAAAGAACGTCCTCCTCCTCTCAATCATAAAATGCTTAGAAAATGTCAAAAAATATAACGATGTTCTACTTAAGGGAATTTCTCTATCATTGAAAGATTATTTTTCTTTTTATTAAACCTTCTATCAAAGGGTGCTATCTGGTGATGTTCGGAAAGGGGGCAAGTATTTTTACACGGTAAATATCAAAATATTTCAGATAACAAAATGGTACAACTCTTCCTCTATGTGCTGTGTCCTTTGCGGACGGTGGTGATCATGGATCTCCACAATTTCTTGACCTTTCTTAACAGCTTTTGTCATTTTGTTATCTCCCCTAAACCTTGTTCAGTCATTAATTTACTCAAGCTCGCTAGGCTTATGGATATATCACGTTGAAACATCGGTTCGCGTACGATCACCGAAGTTAAGCAACGACGAGTTTGATCAGTATCCAGATGGGTGACCGCTTGAGAATACCAGGTGCTGTAAGCTTGGATGTGCGGTGGTGGTGTAATGGATAAAAGCTCGGAATTGTGCCGAGTTCCAATTCCTCTTGTGTTCGGTATATTCACTTATACGCAAATACCATTGAGAACAGTATGAATGCACATATTCCCACCCCGGCTATATGTTAATTAATAAGACCTGTATTTCTAAAAAAAATATTGTCTCCAAAAATCTTCTCGCAATGTAAAATATTTCCTGGCTTTAAATAACCTGCGGAGGGTTGATAAGCCGTAGAAAACGAATCAGTCTATCCACATCGCAAAGTAGTTTATGCGTTCTTTTTCCGCTGTCCGTCTTTCCGTAAATCTGTACTGTGAGTATTAAATTTTCAAATGCTATATCAACATATACATCCATTTTTTTTCTGTTTTTTTTTTAAATTTTATTTACAGTTGTCAATTCTGCAGTGAAGGTAAATCTATAAGTTATAATAAACATTAGTCACATGACCGTTTCTGGTCATAAGTTCGCTGAACTGCCCGGTTCCAGGTCCCCTCCCCGCAGTTAGAAAGTCGAAGAGGTGTTCTCCAGGTCAAATCATGAAGATGTAGTTGTTAATTCCATCGAGGAAACCCTCTACCTTAACCGTTGACCATTCTAGGAACCTCTACACCCGGCGGTACCTTGCCATCACCGGCTTGACTGTATACATATCTGTTATGCTCAATCTACCCCATTGTGCTCAAAGTTTCATCCTCCTGATGTTATATTTTTTCTAAAAAAATGTCTAGCCACTTTCCTCACCAGAAAAGACTAATTGGGTAACCGGTTAGTGTCGATGATCCAACCAAGTGGCAGGTAGTTCTGGGTCACATGGCACCAGTTGCAACCGTAGAGCGACCTTATATAATTTGGATGTGCGCTCTTCATTAAAGCTTCAAGTTAAGGTAAAATCAAACTGAGGAACAACAGTAAACGTTAACTTTATCAAGTCATCCCATAGTGTCTAAAATCTCATAATGTATTGAATCTGATTTTGGGATGATGAAATATATTTTTATTATTAAAAACGTATGAATCATTATAATACCTATTAGTATGTTTCTTACGTTTAATCTTTTTATTAAAGTCCGGCCATACAAGTCACAAGTGACACTCAACGTAGATGGTTATTGGATGAAGTGTGTGATATGAACTTAAAAGTAGGTACTGATAGGAAGTGAATGTTATATAGGAATAAAGTGTCGCAGCTGAACACGCCAGTGAGCAAACACAGGTGATTCCAGATCTAATAAATAGGGGCACCTCGAGGTGGTGTAATGGTTAGCAAGCTTGTCTCGAATGAGTAGTGAGTTCGATCCTCACTGGGTGACCCTTACTTTCGGCCTTGTGCCACATCCAAGCTACGCTTGGAAAATCACTATCTAATAAATAGACCACGTGATGGCAACGGAAACGTATATATGGGAATTAGCATGGCGTCTAATTGATCATTCTTTCTACTCTATCCTCTATTACTATACGGATCGCTAATCTCTATAGTATTCACTATACTATTTCATTTTACTGATCACTATTCGGTGGTAGCTTTTCGAGATAGTATTATCGAGCAAGTACTATTAGTGCAAGTGATATTCGAAGACGTCTGAAACCAGTATTGTTCAACTGCGTTACTATAGCTGCATCTACAAAGTCTCTACTACAACGAGCATTACGAAAGTGGCAACTAGTATTCGTTGACATTACAAAAATGGCAACGAGTTTTCGTTGACATCACAAAATGAGGATAAGGTGGATAGAAAATATTGACCCTAGACTTGAAGATTTTAAAATTAAAGCATTCCCACGGGAATATTTCCCGAAAGTAGCATTTGCTTCGGAGAATGTTCTCCGATTGGGCCGACTTTCTGACGATTAGAATACAGAGTTAATGAGGTTGATTTGACTCCGTGGACGTTGCATCGTGGTTTCTAGCTGTAAAATCTTATGCAAATAGCAATGAGATTGTAACAGGCTTGCGACATAGCCTCTGTGAAAAAGAGGCTGCAGCTGGAACATAAGTTACCTTCCACAAGAATGCGGAAATGATATTCAAGTTTATAAAAGCTGGAAGAGTAGAATGCTAAAAAAGGGTGGGAAGCGATCACTGTCAAGGCTAGAAGGCTCAACGAGCTACATCCACATAGTATAATTAATCCTAGTTATTTAAAAGGGGGTGCTGAAAAATGTCTCAGCGTAACCAAGAAATCTGAGGTTGGACGATTTGTTCAGATCTTTAGAAACGATCGGGTGGAGAACTTGAGAGAAGACCCTCCTTCAGCTTTATAAAGATATATGTCTTTACAGTACACATATGACATGCAATGGTCTATGATCTGAAAATAAAAACAACAAAACCGTATAGGTAGAGACGACTGTTGGTTGAAAGAGTAACAATGTCCTAGTTACAAAACAGTGAAAGCAGTGTTTTTTTTACACTGATGTTCACCCTTTATAAGGCCCGAGACTCACTCGATGTAGAGGTTTACAGAGTAAAAGGCTCAGCTTATGGGGATACGTGTAGAAGATAATGGTTATCCCTAGACTGAACAGGTTAAGATTGTAGTAATCGGGTAAGCAATATGTTGAGTGTAGATTCCATAAGGCAGTGGTTCGTTGGAAGAAGCTGATTACATCGCACCAAATGAAGGGAAAGACATTGGTTCGCTAGGATGTGCAAGGTATAGCAGGTCTTAGCCGTGAAGATCTGAACTCGTGGAACTAAGGAGTATAGTTTAAGCTGAATTATACTCCTTAGTTCCACGAGTTCAGATCTCCCTAGAGAAATAGCGATATAGCAGCGAGAGGATTACAACGTCTCGTCTGCGAGAAATAGATCGTAGGATAGAAAGTAATTCGTCACTTAGAATGACGCGGAGACATTTTTGGACTCTATCGAGAATGGAAAGTGTAACTGGGCAGTTTCTACCCATATATGGCAGCAGTACTTGTTGGAGCGGTACAGAGAACCGACCATTTTTTCAGGATCTTTAGCGATGGATCGTCTGTACGAGTTCTACTTGAGGTCTGGAGTGATTTTAAATCCCAATAGAAGCTCAAGGTACGTGACTTCCATGAGGGAAAATCCGTTCATCACGATTGTTGAAATTTCTTAGTCTGATCGGCGATTGTGAAAAGTCACCAATTCAGTTTATTTGTAATGTCAATTTAAAGCGTCATGCTGTTGATACTGCCCACTCCTGTAAATCCACCTAGATTTATATGGGTTGAAATGAGAACAGGCGAAGCAGGATGTAGCATGAAGTCTTCAATTTGTTCAAGGTTTAGACAACATGATTTTCCCTTCAGAAATCGTCATAACATTTCAGACTGTCGACTTTAATTTTAAACCTGATTGGCTGAACTCGATAGAAAATCTGATACTGCATGCAATGATAATGAATTCGATCGTTTGCAGTAATTTGCAGTCACTTCGAAATGTCTAAACTTAGAAAATGTATTCACAATGATTTTAACAAAAGTAAACCGTAAAGCAAAAATAAATTTTTTGCACTTTTTCACCTTCTTGCATCTCACCAGTAATTATTGCTAACAATAAATGGTTATTTTACAAGAATATAAACAAACCCGAAACACATCATAATTGAGGCGAAGCTAAAATAGACCACTATAGAAAGAAAGTAATTTAGAGTCAGAAATATGTTATTTTAAATTTGTACACTGAAATAAATAACGAATACCAGGATTATTTAAGTTTCCAATTATATATCCAAAAGTGTCATTGCAAATAAACACCTGCTGCTAAGCGCACTTTGTCTTTGAGAAGACAAAGTACATATATTATATTACTTTAATAAATTAAGAATGCGTTTGTGAAAATCAAATTTATATATATATATATATATATATATATATATATATATATATATATATATACACATACACAATAAATTCCATATATGCGCAGGTGCCAGCGAAGTTATATATAGATTCCTCGGGGTAAAGTTATGTTGATTGCAGAGATAAAGTTTTCGTTCTACTTTACTGTCAATTCAGTTTTGTTTTTATAACAACAGCTCCAAAACTAACAAGTGGTTTTTCAGTTAAACTTTATCCTGTACGCATTTTGTGTTTATTATGAAAAGGAAATAGGTAAGCGTTTTATGGCACAACTGAAAATGACCAGAAGTCGATAATTGGCAAAACATTTATATATGCATTCGGAAAAGTTTTCCCTTTTAAAAGCACCTTATTTGGATTTTCAAGCGATAAGTCAAAAGCGACATTGATACCACGATGTACTGCTCAGTACATTAAGATGTATTCACTAACTTAGCTGATCGAGCGACTTTTTTAATTTGCTATTGGAAAGAGCGCAGTGAATACATATGTTTGTTTCATGAACCAATAGAAAATATGCCCTAACCAGAGAATTCGATCATGGCCCCCCACATCTTCCTGCCCCTTGTAGCTCTTAATAATTTTTGTCTTTTTTTTATTTTCCCAAATCCTGTTCTGCCTTCCATCTTTTCCTCTGTACCTCTTTCCCTCGATCCGTCCTGTGAGTATCATGTTTTCCCAGCCCTTCTTCCTCATTATATGCACTAGAAACTGTCTCTTCCTGATGTTAAGTATAAATTTCTTTTTTGATTCCATTCTCCCCAAAACCTCATTGTTGCTCACATGTTCGGCCGACGGTATCCTCAGAATTTTTCTGTAGATCCACATTTTTGTTTCTTCAAGTCTCTCCTTCGTCTTTGAGGATATTTTCCAGCATTTACAGCCCTATAGGAGGAGAGTAATCACGTAACATTTTAGTACTCTTTTCTTTGTTTCCAGCGAAATTTTTCTGTCTCTTAATACTTTGCTTAGCTTTTGGAATGCACCTTTGGCCATCTGATTACGTCTTCGGATTACGTCTTAGTGTCGCACTTTCCGTCCTCTGTTGGAACAATTCCCAGATATTGAAAATTCTGTATATGTTTCATTTCAGTATTCCCTACTCTTAATTTGCATTTTAAACTCATCCTATTATTGACAACC